AATCAAAATCCATCTTTTCTGATTTCATCTCTAAGCTGGGTAAAACACACAATTTCGCTATTTCTGCAAATAAAGAACAAATTTTGTCATATGTTTCAGTAATTAAAGATATTTCCGACTTATCCTTAATATTACTTAATGTAGAAAATATATCTTTACTATTATTTAAATATATCTCGGCTTCATTCAACTTATTTAACGCAATAGAACCTTTATACCTACTTTGTCCCTTTTTAATCAAATATTTCCTTATTTCTGACAATTGCTCATAATGTTTTATTATTTTCTCAGCCATTATACCATTAATTTCATATGGAAGCTAAAGTTAACTTGCACTCGGTTCATATTTCATTCAATTGATTTTAATTTTATTCTAAAACGAAGCACAGTCATACAGTGTACCGATTACAAATGCTGAATTGCATCTCGACCGATCGCAGTGGTCGGAATTCTTAGAACTAACACATTTTTTTTTAACTATTTTAAATGTTATAGAGAAACAAAATTAAACATGCTATCTAAATTTAACATAATTTTCGAAAAGAAGTTTATAAAATTACCAATGTCACTATAATTGTCACGTAAAAAAAAGTTTTGACTCACTCTCGTAAAAACTAAACGGAAATGCACTTTTTAGGAACTGCACTAATATAAAACACACTACGGTTTCACGCTGCTTGTCTGCAGTCATGCGCAGAGTCCAAAAACAGGCGTCGTCATGTGGATATACGGCGTAGGGGCATTCGGAGAAGTCAAGGATCGCTCACTTATGTCCAGGGTCCAGTACAGGGGTAGGCCGGTTAAAACATAACTTGTAAAAAAAACCAAGTCTCGCAACTCAGTTCTTCTGCCGTAAAAAGTTGTGAGATCCATGTAATACCATGTCGGTTAATTTATTCAGTCCCTACTCAAGGGTCCTTCTGTCTTATGTTATTACGTAATTAGCTTACTTAACAACATCTCATGGTGACCATATCAATATTAAAAATCTTTTATGTTCTAAATAAATAAATTGACTTGGCAATCGCACTAAACAATCTAATTTAATATAATATGTATTATTTGAGAGATACATTGTGTTTTCATGCGATGGCCAAGTCAATCTATTATTTAAAATATAAAAGATTTTAAGTATCTATTAGTACTACTAACTAGTCACTATAAGATTTTGTTAAGTTAGCTAATTACGTAATAACTTAAGACAGAAGGACCCTAAAGTAGGGACTGAATAAATTAACCGACTTATTATTACATGGATCTCACAACTTTTTACGGCAGAAGAACTGAGTTGCGAGACTTGCTTTTTTTTACAAGTTATGTTTTTTGACGGCATTAATATTTATTTTAAATACTATAATATGTAATAGCATGAAAAGGGTCGTCATCGTTGGAGCCACACGCAAGTGTGAGTAACGATCCAAGAGCAAGTATTATCCGACACTATTCCGAAGATATCCCGGACGTCAGTCTTAGCGAGATTAGAATGGCTCTTCAGCACCTTAAAAACGGCAAGTCCCCGGGCGAGGATGAAATTAGAGCGAAGCTTTTGAAAGCGGGTGGAAAACCGGTACTTGAAGTCCTTCAGAAGCTCTTTAATTCCGTCCTCCATTGTGGCACTATTCCGGAGGCGTGAAGCAGAAGTGCGGTGGTCTTGTTCTTCAAGAAAGGCAACAACGCTCTCTCGAAGAACTACAGACCGATTTCCCTCCTGAGCCGCGTCTACGTGCTGTTTTCGAGAGTCATTACGAATCGTTTCGCACGCAGAACTGACGACTTCCAGTCTCCCGAACAAGCCGGTTTTCGAAAAGGCTTTAGTACCATGGACCACATATATACCCAGCGGCAGATTGTACAGGAGACAAAGGAGTATAATCTGCCACTTTGCCTTGCGTATGTGGACTATGAGAAAGCTTTTGATTCCGTTGAAATTTGGGCGGTGCTGCAGTCCCTTCAGCGGTGCCAAGTTGACTGTCGGTATATCGAAGTGCTGAAGTGTTTGTACAGTAGAGCTACGATGGCTACCCGAGTACAGAATCAGAGTACGAAACCTATCTAACTGCAGAGAGGTGAAAGACAGGGTGACGTTATATTCCCGAAACTCTTCACCGCTGCATTGGAAGACGTTTTCAAGTTACTGGATTGGAAAGGATACGGTATTAACATCAATGGCGAGTACATCACTCACCTTCGATTTGCCGACGATATAGTCCTTATGGCAGAATCGCTGGAGGACCTAAGCACTATGCTCAATGACCTCAATAGTGTCTCCCAACGGATAGGTCTTAGGATGAACATGGACAAAACAAAATCATGTTTAACGTCCATATCACACCTATGCCGGTAGTTGTTGGGAGCACTAAGCTCGAAGTTGTTGACGAGTACGTTTACCTGGGACAAATAGTCTGACTAGGTAAGTCCAACATCGACCGAGAGGTCAATCGACGGATTCAACTCGGCTGGGCAGCGTTCGGGAAACTACGACACATCTTCTCGTTAGACATACCTCAAAACCTGAAAACGAAATTGTACAACTAGTGCGTGTTGCCAGTGATGACTTACGGATCTGAGACGTGGTCCTTCACTGCTGGCCGTATGGGGAAGCTCAAAGTCGCTCAGCGAGCTATGGAGAGGGCTATGCTCGGGGTGTCTCTGCGTGATAAACTTAGAAATGAGGATATCCGCAGTAGAACCAGAGTAACCGACATAGCCCAACGGGTTCTTAAGCTGAAGTGGCAGTGGGCCAGCCATATAACTCAAAGAACCGACAACCGATGGGGAAGAAAGGTGCTCGAGTGGCAACCTCGTACCGGTAGGCGAAGTGTAGGGCGACCCCCCGCTAGATCGAGTGACGACCTGGTGAGACATGCAGGACGTCGATGGATGCAGGTGGCTCAGGACCGTGATTTGTGGCATTCCTTGGGGGAGGCCTATGTTCAGCAGTGGACTTGTGAAGGGCTGTAATGATGATGATGATGATGTAAAGGATAAACGCTAATCACTATTCACAACATCAATAGTTTGTTTTAAAATATTTTATAATATTTTTAATTCTTTAACATCAACATGTACATACTTACGTAATATCAATACATCTATAATTTCATGAATGTAAATTACTACAAAATTTAAATTTTAACATTTTAAAATCGTGTTTAAATTTCGTAAATTAACATAAGATTTGAAATTAAAAAAGTGTTGACATTTAATTGACAAAGTACATAAAAATTAAGCGCTTAAAAATTATGTGGCATAATATACTGCTTGAGGCCAGCGTCATCTTTTTGTTGCCAGTTATTATTTCGTTGCATCAACATAGCATGCTGTTGTAGTTGTTGTTGTTGTGGTTGATGTAACGCCATCACATTGTTGTTGGAATAGTAATGACATTGAGCTCCTGGAGGCCTAGTGAGATCGTGGGTTTGATTGCGATACGGATGTTGTAGTTGATTATTATAATTGTTGTTGTTACCTGAAAAGTCTCCAATAGAATGTGAGTGCCTGGTTTGACCTTTTAAGTGGGGTACGGCTTGCAAAAATCCTGTATGGTGATTCTGATCAGGTCTTATCTGTTGCAATGTGGGGACTTGTACGTTAGCAGCCACTGGGTTATGACCCTACAAAAATAAAATAGATTTGTAGAGAAACTAATATGTATATTGTGATTAATAAAGAAATACCTTTACAATTTGAAATTTAATTTCTGATTAAGATTTAATATAATCTATAAAATTAGAAATAGGTTTAATGTACCTAAATCTTAAATTTTATTAAAATACGACACGATAAGATACGTTTAATTAATATATTTTGTAGTATTTTTTTATGAAAGAGGTAAAATGAAATTTAATAGTATTTGCATACCCTAGGCCAGTTTTTGGTGTTGAACATTCCTACGCCTTGAACTTGCGCGTATGTGTTGTTGAATTGCTGCATTCTAAAATGTGGTTCTTGGTTTGCTGTTGAGTGGAAAATTGATACCCAATTTGTTGGTTCTGTCGAAATTCCTGAAACTGTTTTATATGTTGAGATAATAAATGCCTCGTTATATCATTCATATCAATTTTGATATTAATTTTGTTGAAATCAGGATAAGATGTCTCATTTGGTGAGTTTATTGTAAAATTTGGCATTTTATTGTTCACAAATGCACTAATAAACTATGATACTAAAGTATAAATGGACTTCATATTTTCTTCATTTTATTTAGTTATTTATTTAAAAACATAAATGTAACACCTTAAGGTAAAGGGTATATAGGGCGGACTTAATGCCATATGGCATTCTCTGCCAGTCAACCCTGGGTGCCAAAGACAATTGTAGGCATGTGCGAAACATAATACATAAATAAAGTGTATTTATATTAAAATATAATATATACACATTACATACATATACTTAAATATATACATATTTAAATATGTATAACATATATTTACATACAATAATACAAACATACATATATGTAATGTGTATACATGCTTATAAACTTTATAAATATCCGTATTAATATATAAATAAATAAATATTTGAAGAAACAAAAATGTCAGTAAGTGCCTTCAGGTAATGTTGTCGTAGAAGTAATTTAAATGAGTTTCTATTTGTAGCATTCTTAATATCATCGGGGATGGTGTTCCAAAGATGTATAGCTTGTATGTAAATATATGTTATGTAATGTACTAAATAATACACCGTGCGTTCGCTAAGACGTTTAATTCCCGACTGCCGCCGCACGGACAATCTCGTGCCGGCTACCTAAATCTATATACCTAAATTACACTCCTATACACTAAATTCATACTTATGACTATAATAACATACCATATTTACCCTAAGTCAACCATAACAATAATACTTAAACTAATACATAACTATCTTAACTCATTTCTAATAATGATACTTAACTAATTTTAATATAAGTAGTACTTAAATTACCTTTACTTAAACTATTTCTTACCCCTAAAGATACCACACATTATACCTAAAAACAACAATTACTTACACTACTCCTTATAACTAGGTTTATTCAATCTACGTTTTCTAACAGGGCGAGCTCGGGGTGTAGCACCAAGGGCCAAAGAGAACTGCCGTTCCGGTGACTCCGGAATAGCCCCCTCTAGCTTAGACTGATCTACTCCTGATCTGACCTCTATGGGGGACGAGCTAGTCGCCTCCGCCGACCCCTCCGACCGGCGGGCGGGACTACTACTACCTATCGGCCAATAAACCTCTTGAGAATCTCTGGTGGACTGTTGATCCAAAATGGGCGTAGTAGAAGCGAGAGATAGTCTACTGTTACTTTGTCGTTTACGCAGCTGATCGATATGCCTATGTATAATTTCCCCGTCTTTACCTTCCACTTTAAAATTACTAGAGCCTAGAACGTCTACAATGCGACCCGGAATCCATTTTTCCCCCTTTAAGTATTGCCTATACCATACTTCTTCCTCTTTGCCGAAACTTCCGAAACTCACTCCTGCGGCCGCGTCCTGCTGGCGTCGCTGAGCTTGATGCACTTGGCCTTCCCTATCAGGTTTGATGACATCCAATCGTGTACGGATTCGCCTACCAAACATAAGCATTGCTGGGGACTCGCCCGTTGTTGCGTGTTCGACATTTCTATAATACATTAAAAATGCCCATAACGCCCTATCTATATTTTGATTATCTTGCAACGCCTTTTTTATTACCCGTTTTAATGTTCTTACCGCGTTTTCCGCCAGACCATTCGAGGAAGGGTGATAGGGTGCCTTAAAAACATGCTCTATGCCGTTGTGCTTGTTAAAATATTCGAACTCCTTTGACGTGAACTGTGCTCCATTGTCCGTTACTATTTGTCGAGGAAAGCCGAATCTACTAAATAATTCATTTAAGCGGTCAATTAAACAGTTGGCAGAGATACTTGTCATTTTATAAACCTCAATCCATTTCGACATGGCGTCAACTACTACCAAATATATTTTTCCCGCGATGGGACCCATGAAATCCAAATGAAGCCGACTCCAAGGCCGTGCGGGCCAGGGCCACATTCGCGGCGAGTTCCGCGCCGGCGCATCCGCCTGCGCTGCGCAGGTTATACACTCACGGCACGCTCGCTCCACCGCCTCCTCCATGCCGGCCCACCATACATAGCTTCGAGCCAGCGCTTTGGATTTCACTATTCCCATATGAGGTTCATGAATCATAGCCAAGATTTTGTCCCTGCAATTTTCCGGTACTACTAACCTATGACCCCACATTATACAGCCTAGCTCCTCGTATAATTCTTTGTGTCTATTCCAATAAGGTTGAAGATTAGTAATTTCGCAGTGTGATGGCCAGCCGTCACGAATATAACTTAGTACTTTTGATAATAATGGATCCCGCAACGTCTCCCGTTTAATGTCGTTATAGTCTAATGACAGAGCTTGTTGCACAAAATGCAGGTACGTTTGTTCGGGTGGGGTTGTCACGTTTCGTTCAGTTTTAAGCGGTAACCGCGATAAACCGTCCGCCCCATTTTCATCTGTACGGACATACTCGATGTCGAACGAATAAGTAGATAAAATAATTGCCCATCTCTGCATACGACTAGCTACCATGGTCGGTATTCCCGTATTCGTGCCAAAAATGGAAACTAAAGGTTTGTGGTCGGTGCGTAATGTAAAGCTCCTCCCGTATAAATATTGGTGAAATTTATTCATGCAAAAAATAATAGCCAGCGCTTCACGATGTATTTGGGAGTAATTCTTTTCCGCGTTATTTAACGAACGCGTTGCAAAAGCTATGCGTTTCTTAGGGTCATAATGCGCTAGTACCTCGGCACTGGACAGTATTTTTTTAATTTGAGTAAACGATGTTTCGCAATCCGATGACCAGTACCATTGTTTATCTTTTTCAAGCAAATCGTACAACGGAAATAACTTATCACTCATATTCTTTATGAATTTGCCATAGAAATTCAATATACCTAGAAACGACCGCAACTCCGTCACGTTAGTCGGCCTGGGTATCCCTAATATGGCTTCTACCTTTGAGGGATCGGTTTTAATGCCTTTGCTACTTATAATATATCCCAAATATTTCACCTCATCCACTAGAAATACACATTTACTACTTTTTAATTTGAAACCCAATTTATGTAGTCTACTTATGACTGTCTCCAGAGCCTTTAAATGTTCGTCTTTAGTTTTCCCTCCGATGATGACGTCATCTAAAAATATTTCTACTATAGGTATCCCCTGTAGTACATTACACATTATACGTTGAAATATTCCCGGGCTCGACGACAAGCCATAGACCAATCTGTTATACCTATACAAGCCCCTGTGTGTATTTATGACTGTATATTTTTTGTATCATCTAACTCGATCTGGTTGTATGCTTGTGATAAATCTATTTTGGAATAATAGCATGCCCCGCTCAATTTTACCATCAGGTCATCAATTCGTGGTAAGGGATATCGATCAATCTGCAATACCGGATTAAGGGTTGCTTTATAGTCAGCACAGATTCTCAAGGAGCCATCCGCTTTATTTACCGGAACAATCGGTGAGGCCCAGTCGGAGCAGTCGACGGACTCAATGATGCCGTCCCGCAGCATTGCGTCGAGCTGCGCGTCGACTCGCTCGCGCAGTGCGTAGGGCACCGGCCGTGCGTGGTGGAACACCGGCGCCGCCCCGTCCCGCACCCGCAACGTCGCTTTGCCACCCGTGAACCGCCCGAGCCCGCCACTAAATAGTTCCTTATACCTAGAAAATATTTTTTTTATTTCATTTGACATAGACTCTTTCTCATTCGACAAATGGTGACAATTATTATTAAATGCGGAAATTTTTATGCCTAATTCCGTTAACCATTGTCTGCCGAGTAATGATGTAGTGCCCCCTTCGATAACAAATTATTCTAATCGTTTGGTTCGGTCCGCATGGCGGACGACCGGCTTAATTATACCTAAAGGGTTTATTCTGGAGCCATCATAACACTTTAACACTATTTTACTATTTTTAATTGGATGATGGTTAAAATACTTTTCATAGGTTTGCCTATTAATACATGACACAGCCGCACCCGTGTCCACTTCCATTTTAATTGTTTTATTGTCAATTATTACGGGTAAACTCACCGGTTGGTAGTCGTTTAGGCATAGATGGTGGAAGTCTGCCTCCGGTACTTCTTCGTTTTCGACTGCTCCGTCTGCCCCGCCATAGTGTAATGGGGCCGCCGTTTGTTTTCTCCGTGTCTTACCAGCCGCGTCTGGGCACACGCGTCGCAGGTGGCCCGGGCGTCTGCACATGCTGCATATATAGACCCGGAAACGACAGTTCGAATACTCATGATCCGTCGCTCCGCAGCCTCCGCAATTGAACTGATGACCCCCAGCCCCAGGGTCACCGGCAGAATTGGTGCGTGCGCTACTGCGCGTGCGCACCGTCCCGCGCGCCACGCCCGCGCCGCTTCTCGCCGCTGCTCCGACGATCCGCTCTCCCGCGCCGCCCCCGCGCCGCACCCGTCCCCGCGTTGCCACGCCCCGCCACGTGTTCCTGAATCCTGGTATCCTTCCCCGTTGTAGTAGCACCTTCCACTGCCGCCGCGTCCCGCTCCGCTGCTTCGAGAGAGGTTGCAATTTTGACTACGCCGGTGTATGTTAGCGACTCATTCTCCGCGAACAACCGTTGCCTAATGACGTCGCTTCGCAGCCCGCAAACAAATTGATCTCGTAAGTTCTCATTAAGAGCCTCCTTAAACTTACAATGACGTGCCAGCTTCTTTAAGTCCGCGACGTAGCTCGCTATATTTTCATTGCTAGCCTGCCTGCGTTGTCTGAATCGGTACCTCTCAGCGTGCACGGATGGTGTCGGTTGTAAATGCTGACGTAGGAGTTCCACTACGTCACCGTACGATAGTTCGGATGGTTTCTTTGGACTTGCTAGGTTTGCCAACAATTCGTATGCTTCATCGCCGATTACCGCGATTAGTGTGGGTAATTTTAATTCAGCTTTTATTTGATTTACTAAGAAATACATTTCCAGTCTTTCCACATACGACGACCATGCTCCATTTCTTAAATCAAATTCACCGATTTTCCCTACCGACATTCTAATATTTACTACCGCAACAACGTATACACAAATTCAACGCTATCCGAAACTCGTTAGCCACTGTAATGTACTAAATAATACACCGTGCGTTCGCTAAGACGTTTAATTCCCGACTGCCGCCGCACGGACAATCTCGTGCCGGCTACCTAAATCTATATACCTACATTACATGTTATACATGTTTTTCCATTAACAAACGGTCACAACCCATAACACACAATCTCAAAATACACAACTATGGTTTGCGTATATATGCTGCACTAGCCCAATCGATTTTAACATATTGTATACTAGTTTGGGGTGGTACTACGAAAACTAAACTCCTACAACTAGAACGTGATCAACGATCATTAATAAAGGTCATGTACAATAAATTATATAGATTCCCTACAGAAGAACTTTACTCAGTTAGTGGTTTACTAAGTGTTAGAAAGTTATACATTTTAAATTTGTTTTTAATAAAACATAAAACAACTTTCTACGACTGCAAAACTAGTAATAAACGAGGAAAAGCTTTTGATTTAACTCTAGTCAAGACAAATTTTGCTAGTCACCAATTTAAAAGACGGGCTGGTTATTTATACAATGTAGTCAACAAAAAACTAAACATTTATTCACTGAACTCTAAGGAGTTCAAAAAGACAGTTACAGAATGGCTACTGAAACTTAAGTATGATGAAGTCGAGGCATTACTAAAAGTTATTAAATAAATTTTACATACGCAGACAAACACACACATGTGTACATATACACACTTACAACACAATACACACACAACGCAAACACACATACACACACACACACACACACACACACACACAAACACATAATAATAATAATAATAATTTATTTTATTTTCTCACCACAATACAGAATTATTGTACATAATATTATAGTATAGCCTCAATAATATACTGTGGGAGACTGGTGCCTAAGCTAGGCTTTACGCCTGTATTTCAGGACGCCAGGTCTCCGCCCTATGGTTGTAATTACAATACTTTTATTATGCACTCGTACATGTACCATATTTATAATTTACATAATATCTCCTTTCATTTATTATTATATTAACTAGTATTAATGTGTGTGTGTGTGTGTGTGTGTGTGTGTGTGTGTATGCGTGTGTGTGTGTGTGTGTGCGCGCGCGCGCGTGCGTGCTTTTGTTTGTTAGTTTGTGACTGGGTTAGTAATTAACTGTTATTCGATTAGTAATTAGATAGAATTAGTAAGTAGTTGTTCAGTGTCATAATAATTTAGTTCTTGGAGCCAGATAGTTATTTTCTTTTTGCATATAGTTTTGTTAACGTTAAATATAGGGATAATTTTATTGACTTTATTGTATAAGAAACCTCCAAGTTGACAAAAGAAACGTTTAGATAATTTGGTGGATAGAGTTATATGACAGCGGTCCACGGGGTTAAAACGCCTTTTATCTCGGGAGAGTGAGGGGTTGTATTTTAATAAAGCATGCTGTTTTAGTAAGGTACTTTGTATAAACAGTTGCCGCACAGTTAAAATTTTCAACTCTTTATATAGGAGCTCTGTAGGATAGCGATACGGCAGTGAAAAAGAGACCTTTAAGATGGCTCTCTGCGTTCTCTCTAATTGAAGCATTTTAGCTTTTGGAGCACCGCCCCAGGAGGTAATACCATATATTAACAGAGATTGGGCCAAGGCGAAGTAGACGGATTTCTTTAGTTTCTCGTCAGCCACATCTCTCAGAGTTTTAAAAACATATATAAGTTTACGCAACCTGCTATTAAGGGTATTAATGTGTTCATGAAAACGTAGAGTGCTATCAATTATTACTCCTAGATATTTTACTTTTTCAGCTTGACATAGTTTGATGCAGGTATCTGCGTTATTAAGTGAGTTGGAACATGAGTGACTTACGATGGAATATGGTGGTGATGATGTTGTTAATGTGTTATTTTTTAATCTAAATGTAACATAACATGTTTTATCTATGTTGAGTGTCAGCACATTACTTCGGAGCCAGTTAGAGACTGTGTTGTAGCCCAACTGGGCGTACGTATAGACATCTTGCCATGAACCTGCACTAAATAGGAGGACGGTATCATCTGCAAAACTTATGATCCGCCCTTTAGGAAGAGTGAGCATACTCATTTCATTAATATATATAAGAAATAAGGTTGGAGAGAGTACACTGCCCTGAGGCGTACCATAGGTAATTGTACGTTCAGCACTGATGAATTTATCCACCTGAACGCACTGAGTACGTCCACTCAAGTAGTCTTCAAAAAGTTGCAGTTGTATACCTCTAATTCCTAAACTCTCCATCCTACGTAAAAGTATGGGTACAGAAACCGTGTCGAAAGCTTTGGCGAGATCTAGAAATATGCCAAGAACCTTCTGCCCATTGTCCAAGTTTGTAACAATATAATTAGTAAGGTCATGAATCGCATCCTACGTAGATTTACCTGACCTAAAACCATATTGTGAGGGCGAAAGAAAGTTATGTTTTTCCAAGTAGTTTACGAGCCTGTTGTTTATTATGCGTTCAAATATTTTGGACAAGGCAGGCAGCACAGCTATAGGTCTATAATTATTGACACGGTCTCTGTCCCCACCCTTATAAATCGGGTGTATGATCGATTTTTTAAAAGCTTTAGTAAATTTTCCGGTTGTGAGAGCCAGATTGCAGATATATGTCAGGGGTGGGACAACTACATTAATATGACTTTTAAGGAGATCAGAGGATATTCCATCCCAACCCACAGCACAGTCATTACGGAGAGATAATATCAATCTTGCAACCTCGTCCTCATCCGTTGGTAACAATACCATGGAGTGCGAGTTGTTGTTATTGTTCTTGTTAAAAGCTTTTTTTGTTGACTCTGTAAGTCCATCCGATATCTTTTCCGCGAGATTTTTACCTATATTAGCGAAAAATTCATTAACTGAATTAACAGATAGCTCCGGAGTGGATGATGTGGTTAATAAGTGATAGGATGAATTTTCTTTCTTTTTTGCCCTATTTGTTATGTTATTTATTGCTCCCCAGAGTTGTTTAGGATTATTACTAGCATTTTTTAATTCATTTTTTTCATATTCCAATTTAATTTTTTTTAACAACTTATTACAATAGTTTCTGTACCTAGTAAAAGATGTTTTTAAGACTTCATTGTCTGGCGACTTTTTTAATTTTTTGTGCAATTTGTCTCTGTGTCGGATACAGCGTAAGAGACCTGAAGTGATCCATGGCTTAATGATTTTTTTACGGTTTGGTACTTTCACGGTTTTTGTGTTTTTTTGGATCGCTTGTTTGATAAGACTTATCATCAAATCTGCTGCTACGTGAGGATCTTGGGTATTATATACTTCACCAAAGTCGATTAATTTTATGTCGTCAGTCAACTGATCATAGTTAATGCGCGTCGTTGTTTTTTTAACCGCGATTTTGGGCATTTTGCTTGCGAGAAATAATAACACGGTTTCATGATCAGTTAGTGCTGAGTGGGCTACTAATGTTGAAGCAGGCAATAGAGTTTTAGGGACAAAATGATCAAGACATGCATTTTGTCTAGTGGGCAAAAAATGTGCAGGCAGCAGGCCGTGTGATGCTAATAAATTTAAATAATTAAGTTTGTTTGTGTCATGGCATTGTTCCTGGATGTTAATATTTATGTCCCCGGTTATTATTATATTGTTATAATGTGTGATATTAGTCAGGATTATGTCAAGCGAATGCAGGAAGTTAGTGATATCTCTATAACTTGGTGGTCGATATATTGCTAACAAAATGGTATTATGGTTTATTTTTATTTGGAGACAATTTGCATCTAAAAATGACGGTTCCTCTACAAAAACCTGTAGGTTTTCATGTATGTATACAACTACTCCCTCGTTTTGTGTTAGATTGTTAGTAGTCTTAAAGTATTTATAACCTGTTAGGTCAGGAATATTATGTGTATTGGGAAGCCAACATTCGGTTAATGTGATGATGTCCCAATCGACCTTAGTCCTAGCGAGTATGGTATAGAAACCTATCATATTTTTTGAAATACTTCTAATATTTTGATTAAGTATTTTGAGCGATTCCTTGGGGTTGAAATTAAATGGGATACAGTTGTCTAAATCACAGGTAGATGAATCCGACACTGAGACAGAATCTATGTTGTTTGTGTTATTTAGTATATTATCGAATTTTATTGTGTTTGTTTTTCATAGTTAC